TCTGACTTAGACTCTGACCCGGTCTCTGGTCTCTGACCCGGTCTCTGGACTCTGATCCGGTCTCTGGACTCTGATCCGGTCTCTGGACTCTGGACTCTGATCCGGTCTCTGGACTCTGGAATCTGACTTAGACTCTGACCCGGTCTCTGGACTCTGATCCGGTCTCTGGACCCTGACCCGGTCTCTGGTCTCTGACTTAGACTCTGACCCGGTCTCTGGTCTCTGACCCGGTCTCTGGTCTCTGACCTAGACTCTGACCCGGTCGCTGGACCCTGACCCGGTCTCTGGATCCTGACCCGGTCTCTGGATCCTGACCCGGTCTCTGGATCCTGACCCGGTCTCTGGTCTCTGGAATCTGACTTAAACTCTGACCTGGTCTCTGGTCTCTGACCCGGTCTCTGGTCTCTGACCTAGACCCTGACCCGGTCTCTGGACCCTGACCCGGTCTCTGCACTCTGACCCGGTCTCTGGTCTCTGACCCGGTCTCTGGACCCTGACCCGGTCTCTGGTCTCTGACCCGGTCTCTGGTCTCTGACTTAGACTCTGACCCAGTCTCTGGTCTCTGACTTAGACTCTGACCCGGTCTCTGGTCTCTGACTTAGACTCTGACCTGGTCTCTGGTCTCTGACTGAGTCTCTGGACCCTGACCCAGTCTCTGGACCCTGACCCGGTCTCTGACTTAGACTCTGACCTGGTCTCTGGTCTCTGACTTAGAATCTGACCTGGTCTCTGGTCTCTGACTGAGTCTCTGGACCCTGACCCAGTCTCTGGACACTGACCCAGTCTCTGGACCCTGACCCAGTCTCTGGACCCTGACCCACCTGTGAGCCACTCCTCCAGGCTGGATGTTTTTGATGAAGACTGCCTGACTGCTGCTCCCTGCTGGACTCAGACCTGGACTCAGACCCACCACGCTGAAGCCCATGCCTCCAGACCCGGGTCGGGTCAGGCTGATCAGCTGGGTGTGGCGACCCTGGGAACACAGGTGCACAGGTGAGTCAGACATTTGTTATTCATGTTCCTGGGTCAAAGCCGTGACTCCGCCTACCTTTGCCGCAGCCAGAATCCACTTCTGCAGARGGTCAGATGGAGGCGGAGCCTGATGGAGGTGTGGAGTCGAACCATTGGCCAGAACGGAGGAAGGCGTTAACAGAGTGGGCGGGCCCGATAGGCTGGAGGGCTCGGGGTCGTGCAGGATCAGCTGACCTCGTTTAGAGAAGCTGAAGTCTCTGCAGGCGTCAGGAGGCGAGGTGCTGAGCTACCACACCAGAAAAGAGGAAGAGGGATGAACCTGGATTTTCAAAATAAAGCTCAAAGACGTTCTTCAAATAAGTCTGGATTTGGACTCGCTGCTTGGAAAGACAATATAAAGAACTGGGTTCTCGTTCGGTCGGGTTAATGAACAGGGTTCTGTTCAGCTTCTGATGGACTGTGCAGTTTACACTCACCTACAGGTCAGGACTCTACAGTTTACACTCACCTACAGGTCAGGACTCTACAGTTTACACTCACCTATAGGTCAGGACTCTACAGTTTACACTCACCTACAGGTCAGGACTCTACAGTTTACACTCATCTACAGGTCAGGACTCTACAGTTGACACTCAACTACAGGTCAGGACTCTACAGTTGACACTCATCTACAGGTCAGGACTCTACAGTTTACACTCATCTACAGGTCAGGACTCTACAGTTTACACTCATCTTCAGGTCAGGACTCTACAGTTTACACTCATCTACAGGTCAGGACTCTAAAGTTTACACTCATCTACAGGTCAGGACTCTAAAGTTTACACTCATCTACAGGTCAGGACTCTACAGTTTACACTCATCT